GTATAATTATATAATATATATATATATATTATATAGTATAGACTACATGTAGCCACAGCTATATGTAAATTTTTCCTTTAAAAAAATATAAGCAAAATTAGTAATACTAAAACTAAATTCTTCAAAAAACAATAATAAATAAAAAAAAAACATATTTTGATAATCATTTCATAGAACTTTACTGTTAAAATATAAACTTTAACACTTTGTAACAATAAACTTAAATAAATATCCTTAGTGCAAAAATATAGTAAGCTAGTAAAGTGATCAGATTATCAATCCTCAAATGGCAAGTTTAGAATTCAAATCTTAGTATTAACAAAAATTTGCAATTCTTGCTATGTTATGATTAACTGTCTTCTGAAATTAGTTGAAATCAGATATCTGTTACTTATGTTATATCAGCATGATTAAAAGATCATATGACATTTATACAATCTTATATAAAAGAATACAAACTGGTACCAGGTAGTATGAACCTATAATAAGTCCTGTGACTGTGTAAATCACAAAAACCAGAAAGATAAAAGCTATTTGAAAGACTTAAGTAGAAAGATAACCTGAACTTTTAATAATATTACTATAAAGATTAGCTTATAAAACAACTTATATAATCTGTAAAACTAAATAAAGACAAGTCAATCTTTGAAAAGAGCTGTTGCAACTAACTAGATTGTCAAAATCTGTTCTGAAAGAAAAGACTACATGTTAAAGAATATATAAATCAGAGATATGGTTTATTTATCTTTTTAGATTATTTGGATTATAAGCTTAATAAAACTTGATTTAAATATCAAAATAGTAAAAATATATTGTAAAGTAAATATTGCGATTGAAGTAAACTTTACAAGAACATAGCAGTTTAATGATACACTCTAATTGTAAATATTAGTTTTTATCATAGCATTATCAGATCAATTGTAAAAATAAGATACAGAAGATTCTAAAAGGTTTAATACAAAATCAAAAGTTCTTATAAGAACAACTATTTTAAAAACTTAGTAATCATGACATATTTGCATCAGTATCAACTAGGACATATTGATAAATATAAGTAGGTTCAGTGGATATAAGAACTAAAGTGTTTAAATAGAGAACCTATAAGCAGGTTCTAGGTATAACAACTAGTATAGAACCTTTGAGTAGACTACTTAAATTAGACAATGACTAAAGTTATATAATTGTCTAATTGTACACTTTTTCTATGATTGCCTCCTTTGTTTGTAATACAACCATTAGCTGAATGTACTATCAATAAAATCCTAGATCACAAGTACTTACCTTAATATTTTTTAAAAAAAATCTTTAGTGTTTGAAACATCTACAAACTATTAAGCCCTTTGTTATAAAATGCAAAATTAGTAATGCAATTTGAACAGAAATATACAAGCTTCTAAAAACAAAATAAATAAAAACCATACTAGATTCAATAAAAAAATATTTTTAAAAAATAGTGCAAAAAAAACAGAACATACAAATTAATCTTGTGACTACATACACATACTATATAAAAAATCTAATGCTGCTATGCAACCTATAAATAGGGTGACATATAACATCTAAATGCAGTACTCTTCACCATTACAAAAAATAGAATCTCTAAAGAGATTAGTCTGCTTTGTAACAAGTTTTATCAAGCCTATATATAAATATATATATATATATATATATATATATTTAGTTTAGGATTATTCTAATATGTAATTAATAAGAGTGCCACACACGCCCACAATGATTGTCATCGGGAATAGTTAAAAAAAATATATACAAAATCTTAACATTTGAAAATCCCAAAATTCCAATAATAAGGCATTATAGTTTTAAATGCCAAAATGCAGAATTTTAGATTTTCAGAATATCTACTATATTCCGAATATTCCATATACTATATAAATGTACTACGTATACATTATAAGTGCACAGTACTAGAACCAATTTCAGAGATCACAGCATATACCGATACTATAATGCGTAAATTTGTCATTAAATAAACAATTTCCCGTTCCTCAATTGCGTTGCGCAACAATCAGACCTCTCTCTAGTCACCTCCTATATAGTCATATCTGCTTATAATCACATAAAATTTTAAATCCTATAGGCACCAAATTCTTAAAACCAAGGTGTGATTATAAAATAACACTGAAAAGACCACCTAAGTAGAAAAAAAAATTAAAAATGCGAATGTGGATGCTAAAATTTTTATTTGTTGGGTTTAGGCCGTCCAAACTATAGCAATTGTTAAATTAATTCTAGTTACTATGTAATTATGTTCTATTTTTTTATTGATTGTAATTGTAATAGATTTTGTAATTGACGCTGTTACACAATTATACTTGCTGGCAAAACTATTGGGATTTGGGACAATTTATTATATTTGGGATTTTGAGATTTTTAGTTTTGCCAGCATGTATAGTTGCAATATAGATATAGAGGTAATAATTGTTTTTGTATATTTTGTAAAATATGATACCGTTCCTCGTAGTAATTAATCTTACTAACAACACATATAATAAATAAGCCAAAAAAGTGCATAAAAATGTTCTTTTAAATACTTTAAATATAATATATTTAAAGTATTAATAAAACCAACCTTTTTAGTTTCAGCCATTTTGAAAGTAGTAACTATATCGGTATATAAAGTTTGTTACAATCAAAGCTGACTAAATTGTTAATTAGGAGTTTAATTTTAAATGTAAATGGAGGCAGTAGGATATGGTGAGCAAATACCAATTTGATACATTAGGATGAGTGCGAAGAGATACAATGAACATTCTGTTAGAAAAATTCATATAATCAATAAAAACAAAACGACAATCTATTTTATACTAGATGATTGAATTACATTTACAAGCATAAAATAAATACGTGTAAAATATGCCTAAAAGAGTTAAGCACGAGATAAGAATGGTAGACAAAAACTTTGGAATTTTAGAGGTTTTATTACAAAAAAAAGTCTATATATTTGCACATCTCACGAAAGTAATTATGATAAAAACATTGAAGATTTCTTTATCGTCTTTTACCACCAGGCGGATAGCTTTTAGGTTTGACATAAACATGACATTTATGTGCATGGCGAAACCAAAGCATCGAATTTTTTTTCTTGCTAGTTGCAATTGGAACCCACTGACCACATTGATGACACAAACCTTCAGTGCAATCACCAGAGTCGAATTTACGCGTTTCGACAGGTGGAACAAACATTTTACCGGATACGGAAGAAATTCCATGAAAAAATTGTTTATGATACCTTTTGGATGTGTAGAATAATTAGTTTTAATGATTTTTCATTAGGACATAGATATTGTGTACTAACCAATATGCGCTGTTTTTCAGTTGTAGCCATTTTCCTGGTTTACAATCATCACAAAATCCTTCCTTTGAATGACCAGAATACCTTACCCATTGTGGTGTGTACATATCACCTGGATATTTCAACTTTTGCCTGCGTGGTTGTGCATCAGGTCTTGGATCATTAAGGTCTATAGGTGGCTCAGGTGTCTCAGGGACAATATCATTCAAGTCAATTCTTGGTTGAAATTTATAAGTTTCATATTTGGCTTGAAATTGTTTGAAAGTATCTTGTTCATATTCAACTGTAGACTCCAAAGACAATAGCATGACTGGAGAGTTATTGGGAGTAATATTTGGAATCTGATTGTTTAACACAGCCTTAGTACGTTTGCGAAGTGAGCTAGTTGGTTGTTGAACATTTGAGATCGTAGGTAGAGCATATGGCTTGTTAAGCTCATTTAACGAGAGATCGGAAAACAATTCTTCTTGTACTGTCCTCTTATGAGATTGTGTTTGAGTAAAGAAATTTTGTGAGGATATTTGATGCAAAGGCGTTGGTAATTGCAAGGGATGATTGGACGAACTGGCAATGTGGCCATTCCACCGATAAACCGGAACTGTTGCGCTTTCATCCGAGGATGATGGGAATGGCATAAGGGAATTAGAAAGCTGAGGATCGTTTGCTACATTCCAAGAAAACTGCAAGACTTCGGTTCCGATAGAAGATGAATTTGTATACTCGCATGCATCCTTGCAGCAAGGATCGTTACAACACATCATAGATTGAAAATGATGACGTGAAGGTTCCATAAACGAAGGAACAGAAGGGTAAGGATCCGATGTTTGTTTTATTCCTAAGGGTGAAAACCTTTGTTCATGAATTTCATCGTTACAATCGTTTATACTACTACAAATCGAATGTATTCCTTCCTCATGGTCATGTGTGGCACTTTGATTATCAGCCGTAGTATTCAATTGATGTGATTCAGGATGTTGCCAAGGTCGAAACGTAGATTCTGAATACGAAGATTTACGTCCACAAGCTTGATCATTTTCGTGATTGAACAGATAGGGGTCAATAGAACCATATGAGGAAGTCTGAACTGGCCTCGGTAGAGTTAGGGGAGAATCTTTGTTGAACAAACAATTACGTCCCGTGTTTAGATTAAATATATTATTTTGACTTGGACTTAACGCTTTGTCATTTTGTATATCAATTGTCGGATGCCATTGTTCAGAAACATTATTATGAAAATTATTATCATGTTCAAAAGACCTGCAGTTTGGTGGAGAATTGGAGTCAAAGCTTTCATAGGATTTTTGTGACTTAGATGGGTCATCGTTTAAAATATAATGAAGTTGATCAGTTGTGCTTTGTGTTTCTCCTGCTTCTGGCTGATTGGTTTCTTCTGGTCTAGTATAAGAAAAATTTTGTATGACAGCACTACTTTCATGATTGGTGCAATAAAGGGTGGGGATTTCGTCTTCGTCAGATTCTCGACAACTCACGTGAGAAGTTGGAAAATCAGAATTTTCAATGTTTTCCTTATTTGCCAAATGATTATGATCACCCTCTGAATTGTAATGTTCAAACAGCATCCTTCAGACTAAAAACCATTTAATCATAAATATGTTAAATACTTTGAAGTACGTTCAATATCAAGTACAAAAATAAAGTTGAAAATTTTCCGACAGTCCTGCAGGAGATTTTTTTAGCAAGAAAGGAAATCCACGTCCTACAACGAAACAAATATGCACCTCTGTGTAACTAACCTTATTGAAAATACAAACGCTGTAAGTAAAAATAAAAAATTACCCAATATGCTGATGCAGATATAAATTTTTTGAGGAAGGGAAAAATACGTTTATCAAGTGAGGAAAGAAGAAAAGCGCAATGCTTTATTTTTCTGATCGATTGATCACATAAGATCTTACTCGTTACTCATATTACTAATTCTTTATAGATTTGAATCAAAAATATAATCAATCTTTGATGATATCATTTATACTCAAAGCTTTTTGTTAGTGATTTGATAGAATCAGACTTTGGAACATAAATAACGTGATATTGAGTTCTACATAGTGATTGGATCTGGATACCTAAACGGATATCCATCTATTCGATTTTAAAACTTATCAAGTCGATTCATTTAATTTATTTTTATTATATTATTTAGGTAAAATTCTAAGTTTGAAATTATTATTGTGGTGGCTGTAGCTGAAATTGGCTGAAGCCGAAAATTTGTCTTATTTTATTATGAAAATTTAAAAAAGTTTGGGGTGTATTTTTTCGACTTTTTTTAGGGTTAGGAGTTAGCGTTATGGGTAGAGATGTGCAAGGTAATGTAACAAATCAAATCAAATTATGCGACAATTTACTAATAATATATACTTACAACTAGTGTGATTTAACTTTTTACGTAATAAGTAATTACCTTGTCTATCGCTAGTTATGGGTAGAATTTATAATAAACAAGTATAAGTGGGTTTTAGTAGGTTTTATGGAACTAAATAGAGACTCTCAAATTTTCAGCCTCAGCCAATTTCAGCATCATCCCCAACACTTATTATTTTTTGAGTTTATATAATAGTCAATTAATTGCTAAAATAGTTCAGAGCAATAGTTATATAAAAACAAAAAATTTTTGTAATTTATATTTAAACTATTAAGCTTGTTGGATTTTACAGAATTGATTATTAATAATATTTATTTAAAATTTTTGCTAAAGTTGCTAATAAAATTAAATTAAGCTAAAAACCAATTATTTAAAATCTGATTGAATGTTTTATTTTATTTCTTGACTTTGACTGTTTTTTCATTATTCTTTATTAAGATATCATGTTTTTATACAACTAATTTTATTACCAAAATTTTAAATTTAATGTATTGAGTCAAAATTTTGCAGTTACTTTTATAAGTATTTATAAGTAATCTATCTGTATTGGTTGTCTAATTTTCTAAGAAAAAAAATTTAAAGACACATTTAATCATTATCTTATGATAGAATATTATTAATCTAATAATATTTTCTTATAAGAAAACAAAAGAAAACTAAAAAAATTTATAGAGTGTGGGTCTCATAGCTTAGCAGTTAAGCTCCTATACTTTCTACAATCAAAGTCAATGGTTTAAGTCTGGCTAAAGGCAAAATTGAAAGATTTTAGGTTCTGTAACCTAATAAGGAACCTGTAATTAAACACAAAACCCTGTGGTTAAAAGTCCAAATGCAGTACAATGATGGAAATAGAAATTTCCAGAAGGAGACCCAATCATGAAGTGAAGGCACTATGCATAACAAGCAGTTGTTACAGAAGGTTACAGTTATAGAAGAATTGCACATGTAAGTCCTTTAGGCTAGAGTAATACCAACATCCTTATACCTCCCAATATAGGCAGTACCAACATCCTTGCACTCAACTTGTGGGGTATTTGCTTGGAAGGATAATCAATAAATTGTGCAAATAGGTCTTAATTGGGATCCAAGGAGAGGATTTGATTGGGAAAGTAATCTGATAAGTAACCAAAACTAGAATGGTAAGAAAAGTAATGAACATGAGGACAGACTGTAATAAAGGATTGGTCTAACCAAAACTAGAAGCATCTCTGGCATAGCCGAATAATCTAATTATAGAAGAGAAGATCTTGAAGGTAGGCATATAACTTCCTTATGCAATGTAAAAGTACCAAATCAGGTTCTGGTCATACCTATATGAAAGTCTATGACGAACAAGACTAAAGATCAACCAACCAATATGAAATAAGATCTGCAAAGTAGTATGGCATTACTAGGGTCAGTGTAACTCCCTGGCCATAACCAGAATTGTCCTGCAAGTATTATCAAATAAGTTAGGAGCTTGCAATACATGGTAGTATGGTATCACTAGAATTGGAGAAACTTCTTAGATATAACCAGAATTGTCCTGTTTGTAAGTGCAACAAGTCTCAGTTTCTATCATAAAAGAAAGTACCATATTGGAAATTAAATACAGCATCAAGTTACTATATAACATTAAGACCTGAGGCATCTGCAGAAATGGTGGCAACAGGTTTGGCTTGAGATACGGATTGGTCAAAAAGACCAATAGTGGCAGCAAATCTGGCTTGAGATACAGGTTCATTACAGATCTTAGACCATTGTCAGAACACCTTAGGGAAATCAATAACAGGCAAATCAAAGATGAGAAGATCATAAGAATCAGACATACCTAAATAGGACCAATTTGGGAGTAATACAGTGATGAAAAGGTGAGAAATGTGAGGAACAAGGTAATACTAGATATAGTTAGATTAGGAGACAGAAGAAACAAGACTAGGTAAAACATGTGAGTGGGACATATAGGTATGATTTACAGAAAACAGTACCTCTGACATTTAGAATGCCACATTAAGTTCAGTAGGTATTCTTGTCTGTGTAGTAGTTTAATATGTGCTATGACTGCAAGTGGTTGCCAAGGTAACTGTATGCAGGCATGTGGCAGACATGCACTTAGGTGCCATAAGGGTAACTAGGTGAAGTCAGTGGTGTTAAATTAGATAGTATATAGTACTAGTAAT